ATTAGCCAAATGGGTTTGATAGGACATAATCACATTAAAAGTATAATGTATAAAGTACTAGAACATTCTATAATACCACTCTAGTTACTATAGGAAAAATGTGAAGTTGTATTCTAATCCATGAAAACGCACATTATTTCTTTGTGAGTCATTAGTGGAGCATATGTGGGTAGCCGACACACTAATGTGGGACTACAAAGTGAAAATGATGGCACATTCTTGAAATTTATGATTGCTGATGGAGCGTATGTGGTTAACCGACACATCAATGTGAGATCATAAATGACCTTGAGGATGTCACACGGGTTTGCATGGTTATTCACATCTTATTTGTGATCCTCGACATCCCTGTCACAAATCGAATAGCGTAATCTGAGATTAACACGCCATTGATTATTCAATGATCTCAAAAGACCTAGGAATTTCATTTTGACTGAAATTGGTAAAATACTTTACCTACCTAAAATAGTTTTGTTATATGACTACGACATCCCTCTTCATATTACGAATCGTATTTATGGATCCTAGCCTTAATTTAAAATTTGTTTAATAATTACGGAATAAATAAACTTATTTAAACTTTCTGCTTCAGGTTAGATGGAATCCTCTCCCACCCCCTCACTCACCTTCTAAATTCTAACTTCTCTTTGTTATCCCTCAAGAATGGCTCATTTGTTATGGGATCTTTCTCGGTTTTGATATTGGGAAAGATGTTCATAATGAGCATATCTCTTAGATCAATAATTCTTCAACTTTAGATAAGTTGTTATTCCCATAAAATGTAGATTTATCAAAAAGGTCTCTTGCATCATTATTGATATGAGCATATTTAACCATATATTCCATACATTATCTTAATACTTATAGCTACAAATATGTTTATTTTGGGACAAAATGTACTTATTAAGTTTGAAATATGTTTTGTAGTAGCAAAGACATGCTCGGGATAAAAAGGAAGCAAACGAGGAGTTGGAAGCAGGAAAATGTGGACTAAGGCAAAAAGAAGACAAAGAAGGCTTGAAAATAGAAGACCACAACGTGGTGATGATCCACCACGACATGGAGAATGGAAGATTCTCGACCAATAACCTGACTTGGAAAATACAGGATATTTACCAGATCTGCATTTATCTTAGAAGAATCAGTTCCAACAAATCAAGGATTTGATTTAATTAGAAGAATTTGTGATTATCTGCAGAATTCTCATCTCTTATCTTTATGGTAGGTTTTAGGTTAAACTAGTATTTATATCAAATGTTTTCATTAGTTGAGGGCTGATGATTGGTATTGGACTACGAGTGAGAGAGTTTTTGTAGAAAGATCTGAGAGTTCTTTGTGAGTTCTTGAAGAGGATTCAAAAAATATATTATTTTTGAGTCGTTGACGTAAACGTAAAACCCAAAAAATGAAATTATGTAACACTTGAATTTGGTATGTTCCCTTTCAACCCTTCTATTTCTAAGCATTTCACTTTTGGTCCTTGTGGTTAGTATGCGGCGCGTGCCATAGGTTACGCTTAGCGTACTAGCTGAGAAGTTGGATCGCGCTTTCGGACCACGTACATAAGGCGTACGCTTGTGTACGCACGACGTACGTAATGAAACCCTAATTTTAGGGTGTTGCACCCTATATAATCCATGTGATGGCCTCTTTTGGACATGTTTACTCAGCCTCCTTAATCTTGAAAACCCTAATTCGTCCATTTGCTTTGTGAGGTGCTTTTGAGCCTTAGTTTTCATCTTTGGTGGGTTTTGCTCTCTTTGAAGTGATAGAAGAAGAAGTTTTAAGACTTACTCCTTGGAGGGGAGATTAGAGATCCATATTTAGCTCCATTTTTTGGTGACTTTTGAGGTATAAAGTTCATACCTTGTCTACTCTTTGCTTTGATCTACTCTTTAGCTTGTTATGGTCCTTTTTGGTCCCTTTTGGTTGGTCTTGAGGAGTTAAGGCCGTTTTAGAAGCTAAATGTTGTAGATCTGGACATTTTGAGGGTTCCTTAGGCATAAAAATGAAAACTTTATGGTATTGGTGGTCTCATGCATACATTAAGTCACTTGTTAAGCTCTTTTGAGCTCTAAGAGCCTCATTAAGCAATGCATGCACGTAAAGTTGGAAACTTTACGTGATAAACCACCTTAAGGAAGTCAGATCTAAGTGTTGGAGTGAAGTCTTAACCGTTTAAGAGCTGAACGAGAAAGTTGGCCAAACAGGGGGAGTACATCGCGCGTATAAGCCCTAAAGCGAGTACGCTTAGCGTACAAGCTGAGTACGCCCGTCATACTCAGTAGTGGGCTTCGGAAGTTGGGCTTTTCGGTATTGGGCTCATTTTAGACCGTAGGACTCTAGGGCTTTATTTTGGGGCATCAGAATGTTGTTTTGGGCTAAGAACATTTTTGGACCTTAGTTTAAGGCCCATGAAGGGGTTTGGGCCCAATTTAGAAAATTGGGACATAGTTGGGCCTTGGCTGAGTATCTTAGAATTTGGGCCTAGGGCCAAATATAGGGAAGGGTAAAAAGGTATTTTACCCTAGTTTGGACTCTTAGGGTGAGTCAGGATCCAATTATTAATTAGATGATGTTTTGTGATTATAGCACAAGGATTTTTAGCAGGCCAGCAGCCAGAGATTTATCCGTGAGATTCAACAGTGCGAAGTGAGTTTCCTCATTATGATAAGCGGGTCGAAGGCACCAATTCCGGAACATGATTTTCTTATGTTAGGATGCTAGATGTCTGCGTGACTCTTGCATGTGTCATATACTCGTATGCTTACCGAGCGGGGCCCAATGACCATTTTGTATGTTATGTATCTTTGTGATTATTGCATGTGTTATGTGTTTATATGTTTATATGTATATATGTGTGTCGGGCGCGGCCCGATGATTGACAGATCTGTATACCGAGCGGGGCTCGATGACGGGCCCATTATATGTTTATTTATGTATGTGTGGTATGTAGTATTTTGGGCAACTCACTAAGCTTTGTGCTTACGGTTTTCAGTTTATGTTTCAGGTACTTCTGGTTCCAAAGGGAAGAGCTTGGGATGATTGTAGAGCACCCACCACTCGATTCTGTATTCTGTGATTTACTTTGATGATTGTTGATGTATTGATACAAGTTGTTTACCTTGGTTTTATGACAATGATATGGTTTACTATTTTATTAATCTAAAAAATGAAAAATAAAATGGGTCTTATTTTTGGGACGTTTTAAATTAGTTTTTGTTTGTTTAATACTTGTGTTATTCTCCTGCGTTTCTATTAGATTCATACATGAGTGTTCATATCATGGGACCAACACTAACTCTTCTGTGTATTATTGGAGAAGTATTAGACCTTGTATAGTTAATGACTTGTTCAAGTGGGTGACTATTAGAAAGAGTATCCAGGGTCATTAACTATTGGTAATATTTATAATAATAACAGGGTCTTTTGGGTTGTCCTCATGACCCATTTGAGAAATTAAAAGAAATATAATTGAGGATAAATATTAGTTTATTAATTTGTCATGGATTGATAAAATTAATTAGAAACTAAATTTGAGTTAAATTAGGAATTAATTAATTCAAGGGGTTGACTATTAATTAATTAAAATTTAGTTGCTTGAAATATTTTAGAAAACCCAATGGATAGGGAGGTGGACAATTTTAAGGTTTATCCCACATGTAATTGGAGTTGCTTTGGAGCTAAACAACTACAACCTATAAATAGGGTGTTGGGGGTTAAATCCTTTTGCTTATTCCTTGGCTTGAAAATTTGTCACTCTCCTTCTTCCTCTCTAAGCATGAATTTCTTAACCCTCTCTAGGGTTTGTAGAAATTGATCATATTTCCTAATTTTCTTTTGATTCTCTCTTTGGTGTCGTGTGTGTGATACCATTAGATGGATTCTACTTTGGATCCTCTCGTCCAAGCAAAGGTGGCAAGGACAAGATCGCAAGCCGGTAAGTCTCTAGCTGTTAAAGAGGTATGTTTTTATGTTCTATCTAGTAGTTGTAGTAATATATTGAAACCTAGATCTTTATAGGTTGCATGAGCACATGTGAATTGTTTAAGTCTTCCGCTACCATATTCATGTGTTTAAGAATGCCCTATAACCCAACATGATCTTTGATTAAACAAACAAAATAAATTAAACTTCCAATATCTGAATCATAGGATCAACACACAATCTTAAGGTTCATCTACATCTAAGCAAAAGCAAAGAGTATTAGCCTATAATCTCATAAATAAAACAAAAAACCATCATATAAAGTGTGTTAATCATGATGCGTATTACGTAATCTTCGAGGGTTTTATGTGTCCCATGGCTTGTCACGATCCTCAAATAAAGAAATCCTCAACCCCCTGCGTGTTTAGTTCCAACTTAGCTTTCGGCTCCAATTTTTGCTCATTTCAACACTACGACGTGCTTTATCTATAAAAATATAATTTCAAAGCATTGTAAATATCTTTTGTCTAGTTTTAAAATAAAAACACAGCTCAAAGTACATGACATCGCACAAAATATATGCATAATTAAAACGATATCAGTATTATACATATACAGAAATTTAGAAGAGAAATACATATTGTCATTTTTATTGAATGCGATTTTCTAATCTATTTAAAAAGATAAAAGACATATATTAAAGTTAATAATTTATAAATAAATACAATATAAATTGTTATTCGGAGTTTTTAGGTTTAATCTGTTATTATTTTATAAACTAAAATCAATCCAAAATAATAATTAAGTTATGATGAAAATCAATCTAACTACGTAATCCCAATCAAAATTATCAAATTGGATAATTCATTTTTACCAAAATAATAATGAACAACCTTAGCTATTACATATAACAAAGCGCAACAAAAATAAAATAAAAAGAACACTATAAATTTTGGACATTAGCAAGAAGAAATCTATGACAAAACCAATAAAATTTTACAGGTTAATGTTGAAAACTCAAAAACTAATTACATAAATAAATAGTTTTCTCAAAAAGTTAATTACAAATAAATAGTTTACTCTTTGTTAAACATTAAAGAGCAAAAGCAGAGAGAAGGGGGCGTTTGTCATCATCGTGTTCTAAAATTCGATTTCTTCAGACATGGCAATGGCGAATTTGGCCAGAAAAAAGGCCATCAATCTCTTCAACAACACTGTCATCTCTTCAGGTGCACTCAGGTATTCATATTCTCTTTCATCTACGTTCTCTAGAGGATTCGCGTCGGGATCTGATGAGAACGATGTCGTCGTCATCGGCGGCGGTCCTGGTGGATACGTGGCGGCGATCAAGGCTGCTCAGCTAGGGCTCAAAACTACTTGTATCGAGAAGCGCGGCGCTCTCGGTGGTACCTGCCTCAACGTTGGTTGCATCCCTTCTAAGGTATTAGTTTCATGTATTGAGGCTGTTTCCTTCAGTTACGGATTAATGAGTTTTAGATAGATCTAGTGAAGAAATATATGTATTCCTGCGTGATCAGACGTTTTATCTTCTGTACTTTGCGTTCTTTTGATTCAACGATGCGTCTGTTCATGAATTTGTGAATGATAACTCAGATAATGCATGCTACCTCCGTCCACAGAAAAAATTCACCTTCTGATTTCAGAATTCAGCACTTTTGGAATACAAATTTGGCCCCAAAAACATTTGTTAAAACTAATTTTTTATTTTTATTTGATACTCCTTTAGTAGTTGGCTGTATTCAAAGATTTCCTCCTTTAGTGTGCCTTATTAACTGTATCCTTTTCTCATCGTATCAGTGTGTGTGTTAGATGTTATGGAATGTTTTTAGGCATTATCATCAATTGTTTACTGCTGATGTTCTCTATTCACTATTCATCTGCAACAACTGCCCTAATTAACTGTAATACCTTGCATCCATTGTCTCCTTATAAAATCAGGATTGAGATTCAGTTTTTAATATTTTCCATCACACAAAACCACCTACATCCATCCTTACATAGATACCACTCTTGAAAAGTAATGATCTGCTTCATGTTCTCATACTGCTTCTGAATGACTGAATATACAAGTTTGTTGATCTGAATTCTTCTCAAAACTTTATTCCATCAATTTTCAGGCACTTCTTCATTCATCTCACATGTACCACGAGGCCAAAACAAGCTTCGCCAAACACGGTGTAAAGTTGGATAATGTAGAAATCGATCTTGCAGCCATGATGGGCCAAAAAGATAAAGCCATATCAACTCTCACAAAAGGCATCGAAGGCCTTTTCAAGAAAAACAAAGTAACATACGTAAAAGGACACGGGAAATTCCTCTCCCCTTCGGAAATTTCCGTGGATACCCTCGAGGGCGGGACCACAGTGGTGAAAGGCAAAAACATTATAATCGCCACCGGATCCGATGTCAAAGGACTCCCCGGAATCACAATTGATGAAAAACGAATCGTGTCATCCACCGGAGCTTTATCTTTGACCGAAATCCCAAAAAAGTTGACCGTCATCGGGGCGGGATACATCGGGTTGGAAATGGGGTCGGTGTGGGCCCGCCTCGGGTCGGAAGTCACAGTGGTCGAATTTGCCCCCGCTATCGTTCCATCAATGGATGGAGAGATCCGGAAGCAATTTCAAAGGTCTTTAGAGAAACAAAAGATGAAATTTATGCTCAATACTAAAGTGGTGGCGGTTGACACCACCACGGATGTTGTGAAATTGACACTCGAACCGTCGTCGGGCGGTGATCAATCGGTTCTTGAAGCGGATGTGGTTCTTGTATCCGCGGGTCGGAACCCGTTTACATCCGGGCTCGGTTTGGAGACAATTGGTGTTGAGACTGATAAAATCGGGAGAATCCCGGTTGATGAAAGATTCGCGACGAATGTAAACGGTGTTTTGCGATTGGTGATGTGATTCCGGGCCCAATGTTGGCCCATAAAGCGGAAGAGGACGGAGTCGCGTGTGTGGAATTTATCGCGGGGTTACATGGGCATGTGGACTATGATAAGGTGCCAGGTGTCGTGTACACGCATCCCGAGGTGGCTTCGGTTGGAAAGACTGAAGAGCAGGTGAAGGAGATGGGGATTCCATACAGAGTGGGGAAGTTTCCGATGTTGGGAAACAGTAGGGCGAAAACGATTGATGATGCGGAAGGAGTTGTGAAAATAATAGCGGAAAAAGAGACGGATAAGATATTAGGGGTTCATATTATGTGCTCAAATGCAGGGGAATTGATCCATGAAGCTGCTTTAGCATTAACTTATGGTGCATCAAGTGAGGATATTGCACGCACTTGTCACGCTCATCCTACTTTGAGTGAGGCTGTTAAGGAGGCTGCAATGGCCACTTATGATAAGGCCATTCATATATAATATATATAGGTAAAATCAGGTGATTAAATCGTTTGAAATTTTCTTCTTTTTTGTTTGTTTATTTGGAATTTTGGATGTTGGGTCTGAGTTGAGTTGAACTCGCCTAATAAATTTGCTGTAACTGAGTTTTGATGAGCTTAATTAACCACGTAATAGCAACGTACTTTCTTTATTTGTTTATTATAGCATCTTACTTTCATTTCTTTCAATTACAGTATTATAATATTGTATTTTTTGCTTTGTCTTTTTTTAATTCGGTCTGGCTTATTAATCCGGTAACCGATGGTTCTTTGGTGTGATTTGGTTTATTACATTTAAAATATTAAAATATTAAGCATTATAATATTATTAATAATTACAAGATTTATAATATATATATATATATATATATATATATATATATATATATATATATATATATATATATATATATATGAAATTCTTTAATGTTTATTAAAATTAAAGAATTATAAAAATTGAAAAAAGAAATAAAGACAGGATGGCGATATATTCTGAATGACATCATATATGCTATGTTAGAACTGGACAGAAGACAGGCTCGGTTTGGTAATTAACAAGACACTCCACCAAATACATTTTCAAATAGACACAAAAAGAAAGCACCACCAAATACATTTCAAATTAGACACAAAAAGAAAGCAACTTATTGGAGAGTATATGAAATTAGGAAATAACAACATATGGAATGTCATCCTTATTTCCACTCAAATTAGAAAACAAAAAAATCTATTTGAGCAAACTCATTTGAGATTTTGTTGAAAAGTTTTTTGTTAAAAAATTTATTTGTTTCAATCCATAATGTATCATATACTTAATGGATCGATAATTAAACAATGAAGTACTCATGTAGTTTGCAAGAAAAATATAATCTAAAAATAATTAAATTAGATTTTAAAACTACAAGATTCATGCAAAAGTATTATTGAAACTCGGGTCTTCTACTTAGAGTAAGAGCCATTGTGTTTTGTCTAACTGCAACAATACCTATAACTTAAATCAAAAGTTTAAACAAAATACTGAAGAATACACTTCATCTTACACAAAATATAAAATCAAAATTTCATGAATTGATTGTTAAATTTTCTAAAATCATATTTTCAGTCATGGATATTAAATTAGATGTTACTAAAGTTCTCCATTTCTTATCATGATAAATCTTACCAGACCTAAATTAAGTGAACAAAACCGAAATTGAAATAATTATCAACAACAAAATATACAAAAATAAAAAATTACAATTACCAAAATTCAATTCTTAACTCAATTAGAAGTATATAGATAACTTCTTGTCAATTATATCCTGCACTATGTTACACTTCTCCAACAATCTACTTAAACTCCTCTCATTCTCCACATACTCCTTTTCCTTTCCCCCTTCCACTTCCATCAATTCATCACCGTTAACCACCTCTTCCAATTCCCCATAACCCAATTCCGATTCCGACCTCGGTTCCCGGCAGCTCAATTCCCCATACCCCAATCCCAATTCCACCCTCGATGCCAAACAACTAACTTCAATCATTTCATCAAGAGACGGAGTCACCACATCACACACTTCACCTTCAAAACTTTCCAAATCAAAAAATGAATAATTTTGATCCGACAAAATATATGCCGATGAATACGGACCGTTGGATATACCCATCAACCGCCAATTAAACACCCGCCGAAAGATCATCGCCCAATTCGGAACAAGAGAATACATCGAACCGTTTAGCTCGAGCCCAACATGGTTTTGGATCAAAGCCGATGCTTCTTTTCGGGCCAACAATGGTCCAATCAACGGGCCCAAGTAGCCCACCATGAACCCCTCAAGCCCAACCCGCTGGCTCTCGATATCATCCCATGTCCGACTCCATACATGATCCGGGATCGGTAACTTACAGTCTTGTAACGCTTGAACAAGCGGGTCGACCCGTTTCCCGGAGCTCCACCCGATACTCGGCAAATACGGTTCAAAGTCTATCCCGTTTAGTAGCGAGATCTCAGGACACGGCCAGTTGACCGGGTTTGACTTTGCGGCATTCCCGATTTCCTTAATCGATTCATCAACAGCCCGATTGATAACCGAAACACAATGTTCGGGGATCGTTTTTTGTAATAAATCGGATGAAAATTTCAAGTTTTTCATAACTAATTCACGTGTTTTTACACAATGAACAACGGGCTGTAACGGGCTCTCACTTGCCAGCCATTCCAGGCCCGTTTTTAAATCCTTATCACTGAAAAAAAACCCGGGAAGAATTGAATACGAACCAATTCTTGATTTATCGAGTTCATCAAGTCCCAATTTTTCGATTATTTTTGAACGATTTTCCTGTGAGAAACTTATGATCAGAAGGGGTAAACGGGACCCGTAAGGAATAGATGATGTAAGGACACGAAGCCGGTTTTTTTGAGTGTCCCATGAGACACGTTCAGAGGATAAAAACATGACTGCACTTGCCCCCGAAACAGATTCTTCTAGAAGGTTATCGAATTTTACATTTTTGACCACTGATAAGTAACAAGTTGGGTCACTGGATGATTTTCTGTAATCCCATTTTTTCCATATCGATAGGCCCGGAAAAGATGCTGCTAAATCGTTGTTTTGACTGATGTTTTCCGGGATGAGTTTATGATGTAACCATGAGTGTGGATCTGGGTTTTCTTGATTGGAGACTTGTGAAGGACAAAATAGTAATTTCCAGCAAATGATTCTGGGATATTGGTTACGTTCCCCGAGTGTGGGTCCTACCACGTTGGACACATTAAGGGGTGACCACATTTGTTCTTGCTTCTCGTATCTTTCTGACATTGCCTTGTCAATGTTGAAGTTGCCATGGACTTTCGATTGCTTTATAAAATAAAATAAAAAAATCAGAAACATTTCTAAGAATCATAACCCTTAATTTTTTTTTTTTTTAAAAAGATGCTACTAATTAGTAATTACCTCTTTGTGGAGCCTCATTGGAGGACCCAATGACAAAGAACTTAATGCAGCATTTGCTACCAGTTGTTTTTTCTCACGCAAATCCTTCTTTACAAAAGCACGCCGTTTCCATAGCCTAAAAAAATCAAAAAAAATATAAGAAAACAGTCGAATTTACATTAAAAATTTCCAATATAATAAATTATAGAACCTCAATATCAGTCTAAGTTTCGCCTCAGCAACTTCTTCATCTACACAAGTATCAATTTCCTCTTCCACTTCCTGAATCACATTTTCAGATTCTTCTGGTTCCATGTCCTCAACAAAAATGGGGTCCACCTCCACCACTGAATCTTCAACCAAAACGGGGTCCACCATAGGCGGAACTTGTGGTGGCATTGCAAATACATTTGGCGGGGTATGCTTCTCCAGAGAATTCCGAAACCGATTATCAAAACTCGGTTTCCTAACATCTTCTTGAGATGCATCGGGTTTATTATTTTTAAAGATATTTTTAAAGATATTCCGAGGTGAAGGAGTTCCGATTCCAACTTCCACATCATTCCGTCTTTCAACCACCGGAATCGTGAAAACCGGCGGCTCTTTGACAGACGGACTGCCGCCATAATCCGCCATGCGGTTACGGATGACCTCAGCAAAACTCTGAGTCTTGTTTGGGGAAACCGGTGACTTGACTTGTGTTTGAATAGAAGCCTTTCGTGGGACCCGTTTTGGAGGCTCGGGAGTTTTGATTGGAATCGGAGAAGATAAAACATCATCCATAATTGTTGTTGATCTCTTGAGATGAACAAGTTTTGAGCATTTTAAAGGGTATTCACTATCAGTGTTTAGAAATTGTCCTTCTTTTACCATATATGGCTCATCAAATTCTTTTATAGAGAATCCATGATATTCCAAAAGATCATCCATGTTTTCTTCCTGAATTCAATAACCAAAAAAGCATAAACAACTAAAATCTCTTCAATAAATCAACCTAGAGAAATTACCTCCATTCCGAGCCACTTTCCAATTAGGGTTACTGGTATGCCTTGGTTATTTTGTAGGCCACTGTGTAGAGAAGCAAGTGCTTGAGTTCTTAACTGATAAGATCAACATCACATAATAGTCAAAATCAGAGAGGCTAAAGCATTAAGATTTAAGCATAAGAAAGAGGAAAAAAAGACCTTGCCAAAGTGAGCATGCATTAAGCATGCTTGAAGATAGGTTGCTTTCCTAAGGAGACGAAAGAAGGTTATAAAATTGCCAGTTCTACAGGCTCTGGAAGAATAAAACAACAAAAAAGATAATGAGAGATTTTAAATTGTTAGAAAATGTAATTTTAAAAAAAAAAATGATTTAAGAGAGTAGATAGAGAACCTGGCTACATTACGAGCAAATAGAACTTCTTCAGCTTGTCGTATGCCAGGTGTCATCTTGGCAAGATCAAGTGATAATTCTGATGGTTCAACCTTCAAAGATTTCCATTTTTAATTATTTATTTATAACAAATTAACCTTCTACTTGCAGAAATAAAAAATTGAACATAATAATTAAAGGTATATATTTTTTTAGTTACTTTTAGAAAATAAAACTGTAAAACGCTAGTGTACTTTCATTTATTTGTTTCTTACTTTAATTTCTTTCTATTACAGCATTGTAGTTTCAAAAAAAAATCTTATTAAGACATTGTCTGTAAAACTCTACATTGTAATTTTTCTTATAAAGAAAGGGTTATCTACAGAAAAGTCCCAAACTTTTTTCAAAAGTTTCAATAAAGTCCTAAAAGTTTTTTTTTGAACAGAAAAGTCCCAATATTTTGATGTTTTGCCTAAATTAACGAAAAAGTCCTTTTTTATATTTGAATAGCAAATAATATATTATATGATTTTTTCAAAATATTGGGACTTTTCTGTTCAAAAAATTTTTTTAGGACTTTATTGAAACTTTTGAAAAAAGTTTGGGACTTTTCTGTAGGTATCCCATAAAGAAACTGTATTTTGATAAATCTAACTCATATACAGCAGTGAAAATTACTTTGTATTTAGATGGTTATAATTGGGTAGATTTATTCAAAGCAAATTGTTGTAATAAGACGAAATGAAAATAGAATGCTATGATAACCAAAAAAAAAGTTAAAAGTACATTCACATTGCTACTTTTTTCACTTAATAACCCTTTTTATAAACTTGTGAATTTTTGGAAGGATTTGTGTTATATAGCCGTTTTTCATTCCATACCATAATGAAAAGAAAATTAAAAAAAATGGAAAGAATCACATTCCTTAAGGAATGGTCCATTCCAATTCATAAGTGATAAGACAAAACAAACAGTTTTTTGTCATTCCAATGGAATGAACAATTCCATTCCTTCCCCAATTCGATTCATACCAAAAAAAATCACCATGAAGAATGATGTTGACTTACCTTATAGCCAGGATGTTTGTCCAATTTGAGAAGTGCATAATAACCTCTAAATTCTCTTTCTGTAGGCACCTCTATTCCTTTCTTCCTATGATCATCATACAGCTGAAACAACTCAACAGATGTTTTGTTCATCTGTTCAATGTTGAGATGTGCATCGAATCCCTCTGCAAATCCTTCTCCTTTTGTATATTGGCATAATTCATGCATTGCTATTATATGAAGCCGTATCTGAAACCACCAACAATTCAACAATTCAAAACAAACCCTAACAGAATTATCAAAGTACAGATAGAGTTCATGATTTGAAAAATGTAAAACTATAATTCACCCTAAATCTAAAAAGCATAATATTGAATAAAGATTAGTTGTTTCAAAAGTACATTCTGAGGCAAGAACAAACCATCTGTTCCAACATGGTAATAGCACCAAGATTGAAGATATGCTGCATCCTTAAATCCATCCTAATTGCCCTCATTCTGTCCCATAAAAAGTTGTATAAACCAAGAAATCGATCATCATAGGATTGATCCAACAAGTTTAAAAGATAATCCATTGTCTTTTGCAGGATTGACATTGGTCTTATCAGTGCAGCTTCCCTCTCAGCTGTCCTAGTGTACTTGAAATAAGTAAAAATAAAAAAATTTAAGTATACATATTACAATCAAGAAATATAAATAAAATAGAATTCCAAACATCCCCTTACCTTCTTAACTGCAAGAGATTCAGTTGTCTGATTTCTATCTCCATCCACACGTTCATATTGATCAAGATCTCCTTTCCTCTCTCGCTCTGCTCTTTCTTGCTCTATATAACAATAACCAACAAAAATTAAATTCAAGGCCTCAAAGGACTCAAATGGTATTTCCTTGATCAAAAAGATACCTGGACACATATCTGGACAAACTCCAGTTATAACAGTGGATGATGAATCTTGATCTTCAGAATCAGTTTGTATATTGGCATTGCTATTACGTAAATGCCCTCCCATATCTGAACCTTCCAACATAAACTTTCTTTTGTCCATACCCAACTGATCAACCTGCTGCCTCTTTTGGTTTTGGTTTTGGTTTTGGTTTTTATCGGTTGACTCAGGTTGACTAAGTTCATCTCTAAATCGGGCCAATCTTTTCGCTTTAGCTTGCAATTCTCTGTAGTAGATTATGTAAGAAATAGAAAAATCCTTATATATATGTTTAGCTCAATAAGTTACCTTTCACTGTCATCAAGAACAGGATCATTTGATGTTGTAAAAGGTAATCTGCTCCGTTTTGGAACAGGGATATCACTTGGATTGATTGCAGGTGTTTCAGGTTTATCAAGATCAGTATATTGTGGAGACCAAATATGATTTTCTGGATCAGTGTAAGGATTGCGCCTTGCAGTTGATCTTGGAGGAGATACAGAAGGCCTAGAAAAAGAACAAAAAGAATATTGTTCATTGTTCAATAACCTGAATGATGATAGTAAGTGTAATTGTTATCTTGAAAAAGAAGAGAAAGAAAGTAACTTGCCTCACTACAACAGTTCTTGAGTTTTGCAGGATGTCTTTATAGGTCGGGAGTAAAGGTGGTGATCTTGTTCTTTTCAAATCTTGAACTTGATTTTTGGCAGGAGACTCGGTTCTAGGGTTACGTGATGGATTAATAGGTTGTAGTGCAGAACCTTGATGAACTTGGGGTTTTTGAGAAGAAGCATTGAACCTAAGGAGATTAGAGCTGTTAGTGACTTCTAAGATACACTTAAAGAGATTACTCGTATACATAATGTAAATCAGACAGAAATCTTAAGAAGACTATACCATGTATATGGTGATTGGGAAGGAGGTCGGAAACCAAAGGAGGGTTGTTGTTTTTGGGTACCAGTACCAGTACCAGGACCTGAGTTCTTGTCAAATCCCTGAGTCGACATTTTATAAATTCATTCGGAAAGTGTGTGTCCTGCACTGAATCTCTTCACTGTTCGAGTATCTGAATGACGAACATGACCTACACAAAATGTATGTTGATCTCTGTTTAGTAACAAATTTCATATAAATCATAACTCAAAGGACTGTTTGTGAAGGTTTAATGAGGGTTTTCAATGCCTATCGCAAATTGGAACCTTTATTTCATTAACTTGTCGTTTTTCAAGTTTCTTGAGGGTGTTCTGTTTTATATAAAACTAACTTTTGTGCATTCCAAATGGTCAGCCACGGCTGAGTTGAAGAAAATAAAATTTGCTTATAGCAAACAATATGATATTACGAATGTTAAACGCCAACAAATTATTTTTAGCTTATGTTAAAATTGACAACGAATTAGATGAAGACAAACCTGTGTCAAAATTAACGGGGAAGTTAGAGTTGTTGATTTGAGGATGAACCATCAATTTCACACTTTAGGGTTTTTCTTTGGCTCGTTTGAAATGGTGTCGGAGAAGAGCAAGAACGAGCGAAGTGTGCGTGTGCTTGTTTCCGTAATGTATTCTGGTAAGAACTGAAGATCCAGAGAGATTGTAACTCTGACTCGTGTAAAATAGGATCAAGCATGTGTTAAATTGGGTAAAATAGATAGCTGTACGGGTGTTTGGATAAAAGAGATTGTAACTCTGACTCGTGTAAAATAGGATCAAGCATGTGTTAAATTGGGTAAAATAGATAGCTGTACGGGTGTTTGGATAAACATTTTTAGCTTATTAGTTTATTGCTTATTTGCTTATTGTGGTAGGAATAAGCATTTTTTTAAAATGTGTTTGGATTAGCTTATTGTGGTGGGAATAAGCATTTAAGTGTTTGGCAAAATAAAACAGCTTATATGAGTAAAATGACCAATAAGCAATAAGCAATAAGCATTACCCCCCTTGCTTATTAAAATCAGCTTATTTTGCTTATTCCTACCACAATAAGCTGATTTTTTAAGCATCCTATCTAAACATTTAAATTAGCTTATTGTGGTGAGAATAAGCAATAAGCTAATAAGCAGCCATTTTTTCCCTATCCAAACACCCCGTATGTGTGTTCTCGGGTGTTAAAACCAAAACCCTAATCAATTCACAAGTTTTGATATTCAAAAGAGAGAAATAATCAAATAACTCAAAATGGTAGCAGAGGGAATCAAAAATGGAAGATCTATTTAATTTATTATATTCTTTTACTTAAAACTACCACTTTGCTTCCGGTTTTAAAAAAATGGAAAGAATAAATTATTTTTGTGTTTTCGAGTTTAAATGAAAAAAAAAACAAATACATTTTAGTCGTTCTTGAACCGAAAGGAAAAGGAAAATAAAATAAAAACTTACAATAATAACTTACAAAAGAAATTGACACCGTAGCACAACTAACTTTTGGTTTTGTTTCGGATTGGTCATTCAACATTTTTTTGTTTTTTTTAATTATTCCCTCAACTTTCAAATTACATGTTAATTACGCCTTTATCCTCAATTTTAAAGGTTCATCCGGTTATGACGCTTCATTGGCAAGCCTGACCTGGAAGCATCATCCCTCCTGTAAGACACGACATCAGGGGTTATTAACTGAAACCCTTAATTGGCACACTTCCTTCACCTTTATTCTCATATTCAAAACCCCAAAAAACCCTAAGAGCTCTGAAAACCATTCTCGCACAATGTCGTCGTCTTCTTCCTATAACTCAGACGTTCCTCACTTGATAACGAGGATGAAGTTCATAAATGTTACTGTGACTTGGAAGCACTGCAAGGGACATCGTGGATGGCAAAAAAAAAACCTTCACGCCACTTTTTGAACTGTCCCAACTCACTGGTAATCTCCGATCTAAGATATTTATTTATTTCTTTACAATGTAATAAAAAGTAGTTTTGATTTTGGTACATGTCATGCATTATTTTAATTTACGATGTTTAGGTTACCTGAAATCTTGATCAAGAATGTTTGGTGACTTACGATGTTTGATATGTGATGTTTTGAGCTGAAATTTGTTAAAATTCTTTTATGTTTGAATATTCAAGCTCGATTTTAGATGTTTGATTAATATTTTTCTTTTTGACTTTGATAGATGACTGAAAGGAGGAGTTGTAGATTCTTTCATTGGAAAGATGAATGGCTACAACCAGGATGCTACAAGGAGAAGTTGTATGGCATGAAGCAGGAATTGGAGTCGTTGCAGGGTTTGCTTGTGAAAGCCAGGAACGACAAAAGAGTTGTTCAACTGGAAAGGTTGGTGGCTAAACATGAAGCTAGGATTGCAAGGCTGAATAGGTGCTTGAAATGGACTATAATTATTTGTATCAGCTTGTTTTGAGGATTGGTTTGGCGTGTCATGAAGTTATAGAAGTGATGACATAACTTTTAAAGCTTTTGTATGGTTGATGTACAAATTCCAACCAATATGCATGTCTTTTTGTACGGTTGATGTATAATTCCAACCAATATGAATGAATTTTGTTAGATTATGGTAGTGGGTTCAATTGTGGATGATTGGGTAGTGTTTTGGTCCTAGAAATCAGTTTGTAAGATACTCCTCTATGTAAGTTAATATAAATTGTACTTGGAAAGTTGTATCGACCTTATTATAATGACTAGTGTTCTATTATTTAAACTTATTGTGTTTGTGAAAGTGTGTATCAGTAAATGGAATATGCAAGAGTGGACCATTATGTTCCATTTGAATGTGCATAAAGTAAGTAATATATGTGCTAAGTATTATAGAATATAAAGTGTTATTATAATATCTTTTAACTACTCGCGGTATGGAGAATCTGGTTTGAAGAGCTGCATAGGGTTGTTGGATTTCAAAACAACTTAAATACCAAAATGGTCCTACCCTCCGGTGTTTCATGTCTGGCCCCTGTCTGTACAGAGTAGTTGAAAAGTATTGTTTAACACTTATAAAACAATATTGCTCGTAAATAGTCGCAATAAATATTAGACTAAAATCTAGTGGTAATAATATTAGGTTTCATCGAAGGAGAATAAAATTGTTAGAAGTGAAACACTGCCCGAGTTTGGAATCATCACTTTAACAAGTGAGTGCATCGTTACTTTTATCTTACACATAGATATGAAGTATTTAATATAAATTACGTTCTATGTGTGCATATTATCTATGTTCTTGATATCTATGTTGGATGAACAAAATATACATGTTTTATTCGATTTAAAATGTATACGTATTTTATACCTATAATTATGATGGGTAAAGATGGGTAGATGAAATATGATATGAGAGATGAAAGATGAGATGAATGATGAGAGATGAAAGATGATATAGATGATGAGAGGTGAAAGATGTTGAGAAGCCTTGACCCAAGCGATGGCCCAGTCATCTAGCAGTGTATAGATGACAACCACAAACTATTCTAGACAGTCCAGTGGAACGATATCAGGCTCGCAACCTGTAGGTGTTGTGAACGATGCCTTCACTATATATACTCTAAAAAACCCTGGCAATTATGGATTTAGTGCCCTATAGATGATCATTGGCAGTTATGGACTTAGTGTCTTACAAATAAACATTGGCAACTATGGATTTAGTGCCCTATCGATGAACAATGGTTGCTATGGACTTAGTGCCTAACAGATAACATCGGCAACTATGGACTCAGTGCCTGTTATATAAACCCTGGCAGCGATGAACTTCGTGTCTATTCCTTAGGACAATCCTTAGGAATAAATATTGATGAATAGATGATTCTTATGGAAGATACTTAAGAATAAAGAAGATAATGGGGATGGGTAATTGGGTTAATTGTTTGATGATGAAACATAATAAATTTATTATTGTGGGTTGAAAACCCTAAGTACTCACCAGGTTTTCCAACCCGACTCACTAAGTTTATCTGTATCACAGGTATCGATACGAAGACACATTACACTGAGAGATTAAAGGAGATGTAAATCACTAGTGTAAATGAATGTAAGGTCTATTTATGCTTGTGTTTATGTATTGACAATTACATCCCAACGTTTTAATATAAACAAAATACATTTCTTCTGAAATGCTTTGATAACACATTTATCATGTTTTATGGGAACAAATTCCGTAAATACTACTTTTCAAAAAGGGTACTCTGATTTTTAAATAAGCATACATAAAATTTTTAAAATGACCGTGAATTTGGGGATGTCACAAGATCAGTCCTCAAACTGAATACTATCAAGCCCTCAGTATGAGTCTGGCATACCGCCCGGTCCTCAACTCGTATCTGGAATGCTCATGAGCCCTCATTATGAGTCTAGCATGCCCTACCCGACCCTCAGATCATATCTGGAACGCTCCAGGGTTTGTTGGATACCGCACGGAGCAGTACAACCTCTACGCAACACAATATGTCGACATATACCATATAATAAACATATAAAGATAATCATGCAACAGAATCACAGGTATTCCTACAGATCTACCAGACTATCATATCAATAACTAGCATAATCATGCATATATATCCCATACTCAGCATATCAGTGAATATCAAACCAATGGGCTGGCCTTGCTGCCTTCGACCCGTAAGTACAGTGATGAAAAACTCACCTTGCAAACTGGAAAAAAGCTGATGAGGTCCCGACTCCGAATCTCAGCTCTCTAACCAACACCTATCTTGTAATGTCCCCAAAAATAATGACATAAAATTTTCGTTTTTAAAATAGATAAATCGTTAATACATATCATTCCATAAAACCATGGTGAATAAGATTTAGCAAAACATCATCGAATCAGAGTAAATCATAGAATGCGGAAACATAAATTAAAAGTCGTAAGCACAAAGGTTAGTGAGTTCCCTAAGATACCACATACCATACATAATTTATCACATAACGGGCCCTACCCATTGAGATACGGGCCCCGCCCACACTCGCATAACGAGCCTCACCCACTCAGATATGGTCCTCGCCCACACTCGCATAACAGGCCCCGCCCACACTCGCATAACGGTCCCCGCCCACTAAACATATATCCATGTAATCATATAACATTCAAACACATGCGAAAATAACAAAGATAGTAGCATACTGCACAATCATCGGGCCCCGCCCACATACAAATCATATATGCATAACCTGATACTAGCATACTGAATAACCATAGGGTCTTGCCCAGTAAGCATACAAACACATACACATGCAAGAGTCACGCATACATCTAGCACTCTACATAGCAACCATGGGCCTGATGGGTTTTGAGCATTCTAACACTCCTATGGTGTACATGCAACCCTATAAACCTTGGATCTATGTTTTCTCTATTATACATGCAAATACTCAATCTAAGCTTTTAGAATTGAAATGAAGTATAATTTCCTCTCCCTTAATTATAGCTAAACAACTTTTCAAACCCTGCAAAGCACATTTTGCAAACTTCTGTTTTCTATAATTAACATTGCAAACTTGTAACACTTATCATAATTATCATGCTCCCACTAACATGATGATTATTAGCATAACACTTATGCTCCCACTAGCTTTGACATGTACTCAGAAATCAGCTGGACTTCTGGAAATCAATACTTTATTGACTTTCTTACCAAAGTTCAGATTCCTGATACGAGATGTTTTGATAAAACTTTATCAAAATCATACACCTTTCC